ACTACTGTGTGACGACTGTTTTATTCAATTGACTTCCTCCCAACTGGCTTTGACTACTGTGTGACGGCTGTCTCATTTAATAGACTTCCTCCCAACTGACTGTGAATACTGTGCGATGGCTCTCTCATTCAACTGACTTCCCGTGAACTGACTTGACTACTGTGTGACGGCTCTCGTTCAACTGACTTCCTCCCAACTGACTGTGACTACTATGTGACGGCTATCTCGTTCAACTGACTTCCTCCCAACTGACTGTGACTACTGTGTGACGACTGTTTTATTCAACTGACTTCCTCCCAACTGACTGTGACTACTGTGTGACGGCTATCTCGTTCAACTGACTTCCCCCAACTGACTGTGACTACTGTGTGACGGCTATCTCGTTCAACTGACTTCCTCCCAACTGGCAATGACTACTGTGTGACGGCTCTCATTCAACTGACTTCCTCCCAACTGACTGTGACTACTGTGTGACGGCTATCTCGTTCAACTGACTTCCTCCCAACTGACTGTGATTACTGTGTGACGGCTCTCGTTCAACTGACTTCCTCCCAACTGACTGTGACTACTGTATGAAGGCTATCTCGTTCAACTGACTTCCTCCCAACTGACTGTGACTACTGTTTGATGGCTATCAACCTTTATCTTCAAATGCATCGGTCTCAATGACGTCTTTGTTTGCGATTACAACCAACCTAGATGTTGTTATTTTGTTGGTTTTAGATTTATCGCTGTCATCTTTATTCTTTTGTAGAGCCTCAGTACATTTATTTGGTATATCGTTAGGTTGTTGCCAATGTCTATATTAATATTCACATTAAGTCATTAAAAACCCAATACTAATCTGTGCCTAATTTTATATATACATGCTATGCATTCATTTCTACGTGAGTGCTTTCAGCGAGTGTCGTATACAATTGATCTTCTTCTGCTTTAAGATTTCGGTATAGTAAATGTTCAACCTAACAATGGCGGAATTACTAATAATAGACAAGTGTGCATTTATGTAACACAATATTCGAATTAACGTAGCACCTCAGCACTGCAGTCAAATGTGGTAATCACGCGACCTTACTAACTGACACCAATAAAAGAGTAGTATATTATCAGTTCACCTCTGAGGGTATACTTAATTGTCAGCATGCGCTACCACGAACATTGTTACAGATATGAAAATATTCCAATAAAAAGAATATGTACATACAAGTCAAACGTCCCAAATAAAGGAGTAGTAGAAGTATCCGATACCTTACAAAGCAACACAAGGTTTCTAAGCAATAATTATTTGGTACACCTGATGATTGCATAAATTCGTAGTGGAAATGAAATACGCACACACCAAACTATCAAGTTAGAGCTCCTGGCTTTAATACTTCCCAAAATAATAAGAAGAAACAAAGCCCAGAATAATACAATGAATAAATTCACTAAAATAAGAGATTGTCAAGGGAAGTGTGCATTAGTGTTAACTTATGGTTCCAGGATGTGAACAGTCAATGTCTTCTTACAACACAACAATGAAGAGATATAGGAGTCTTGCTTGCAGAGGAATGTTGTTATTCTGGAGGGCACCGCTGATAGCAGGAGCTCGCAGAGCCTGTTTCACTTGTCTCACAATATCGTAGCACCAACACACAGAGCACTCAATTGAAATGTTGAGCTACAACTGTCCTCAATCTAGCCTATTTATAGATGTATAGTAAATGGCCCAGTTTCCGGCACACCACCTGGGTTTTCACAAGAGCCAATCAGAATGTGGTCTTGTTAGCAGCTGTCTCGTGGTGACATACAGGCACTCACGTAGGCAAGTCAGTAGATCCTAAACATCCTTTGTTATGTAAATCACAAGCACACCTGGTAGATTCAAACTGTCCTTCCAGCGTTGTAAACAAGTATGACCTGTCAATCACCTTTATGACAGTTATCACATAGCAACCCACGCCATTTTTCCCATGATTCCATGCACACCTATATTTTCAAGGTTTGAGGTAATACAAAAAACATAAGGATGCTTACAGGGTGATTATGCAATGTATAATATACCTTTATACCAAACCACGGCTATTTATGTCACTCTAGGTAAATAAAATGAAATTAGGCTCTCTATCAGATTAGCATTTAAGTGGCATTTCAAACAGACTATGACAATTATTCAGTAATACTTTTTAATACTGGGGATATTTATATACATTTTGTGAAACAAAGATTATATTTTGATGTCATCTATTACAATACGCTACATGGGATTTTGTGCAAACCATTTCAGTCTACAGAGTTGTATATGCATTTTATATATTTTACGGATATATACGAGCAGAAAGATCTCATATCAAAGCAGTATAACTTCAATCTCAACTTGTTTGTGATGCGAGTAATACCTACAATCTTCACCAAATGTTTCTAACATTTAACATACTTTATTCCATGTGGGGGTTCATATACAGTAATTTAATTGATGACATGTACAGTTCACTTAAAATGGGCAGATTAAATTCCAGTTAAATATGTTTGAGATGGGTGTGTACAATACTATTTACACATTCATTTACATTAAATATGTGTATCATAATAATTATTATATTATTATCTGTCACGGTAACGCCATAAGTTACAGCGTGCCGTAATTTTGCGACATTTTAAGGGTGTATTTTCATCTTACCATATTCAAATTCCAAATATGGAATGATTACGTAAGCGTGCTTTAATAATAAAAACAAACATGGCTGCCACCAAAGTTTGACTGGACTCCACACAAAGAAGTTTGCTGATTCTTTTCGGCATTCCCATAGTGTATCCTTGGACAGGAAATATTTATAATAATAAAGTTATTACGAGAATACCTCAAAGTATACACTCAGCCGGTACGTCGCTGTGCGTCGGTCGGTACTCCAGGTGTACTGTCTTCGTGCATGCTTTGAGGTATTCTCA